CATACATGTAACATCTAAATAATATGTTGTAGTGATGTTTCAAAGAAACATACGGGCTATGTTGAAATGGAACGTCCTACGTTTGTTCTATGAAAACGTGTGTGTAATGTTTTTTGTATGTTTTAAAATAATGGTCATTAACAGGCCTATCGATGTTGCCGTAATGTCCGAGTACCTCTAATTGGGATGTAACAGGTCCCAAGAAAATGTCCTAGGAACATAAAGGGAATGTACCATTGCACAGTGGGTATCAGGCCGTAAGACATTTCTTACATCAAATCGAGGGCCGAGTCACAACCTTCCGTACTGACCACAAACCATTATTACACATATTTACGTTAAAAACCGACAAGTCTAGTGATCGGCAGTTGCGTCAAATAAGTTCCCTCGCGCAATTTAATCACCAAGTCGTGCACGTTGACGGAGGTAAAAAATGTTCTGCTGGACGCCTTGTCCCAGTTGGAGGTCGCAATCAGTAGTGTGACAACTACGAACTGGAGCCAGTTTGTAGCCAATCAAGCGAAACATCTGGAATTGCAGAATATATTGGACGGCTCCACCATCACATCGTGTCAATTGGTTCCACAGTAGACAGAACACGGTCTAGTGTACGTCGATGTGTCGCACAATAACGTTCGCCCGTTTATACCCGCAACGCTCAGACGTAACATCGTCGACTTACTCCATAACCAGGCGTACCCAGGTATCAATGCGACTGTCAAATTGGTTACCGCGCGGTATTGTTGGCCCGGGATGTCCCGACAGATTAGACACTGAATCAGCTATTGCCAAAGCTGTCAGCGTAGCAAGGTACGTCGACATACTGTTTCACCGATTTTACCTTTCGCACCAACTGATCAACGGTTTGTACATATTCATATTGTTGTAGTTGGACCTCTACCGCCTTCACGTGAACACCAATACATCCTCACATACGTAGATCGTTTTTCTCGATGGCCAGAAGCGTAGCCCATCAAAAACATGTCCACTTACACCATAGCTGAGCTTCTAGTGTCTTAGTGGATCGCCAGGTTTGCCGTATCTGATATCATTACCACCGACCAGGGGAGGCAGTTTGAATCGGACTTGTTCAAACAGTTGATGGAGTCATTCAGTATTCATTATATTCGCAGCTCGCCATATCACCCATAGGCCAACAGATTGGTCGAACGTTGGTAACGCCTGTTAAAAGCCGCACTGACCGCGCATGAGTCCCACCAACGGTCTCTTCGATTATCTATCGTCCTGCTTGCATTCCGCAACCTCGTCAAGTCAAAGCTTGGTTGTTCTCCGGCTGAGTTGGTGTACGGTACAACACTTCGCTTACCTGGTGAACTTTTTCATACCCCCCTATCGATAAGCAGGAACTGGAGTTAATTTCCACACCCCGACCCCAGATGCGGCGTTTGCGATCTACTCCCGGAACTAATCATAAGCGGCTAGCTATTTACATTCCGCAACAGCTAATGGACGCTAGTTACGTTTTTGTTCGAAGAGATGCCAGATGCCCCCCGTTATCACCCCGCTACAACGGACCATACGTTTTCCTTGATCGACAGGAAAAATTGTCAAGGTCCAAATTAATTCAAGACAACCATGGGTCTCTATAGATCTTCTGAAACCTGCATTTGTGCTCACTCATAACCCACCCCCGAATCATACGTATGCAGCTCAGAATGACCAATGTTCCAAACTTAAAGTAAAAAAATATGTACGTTTTTTCTTTGCTAGAGGGGAGTAATGTAGCGAAGTTCGTCCCACACGACCGACGTTCGTTCCACAAATGCTACTGACCGCGGTTACACCATAAGCAGTCACGGTTTGTTCCACGACTGGTTCACCTAGTGTACCGTGCGCGTACCTCTTAAATTAACAAACAAAAATCTTTTTTTGTTCGGTCGCGTTTTTGTCAACGGTCGTACTGTCGTACTTGTGTTACTTTTTTATTATTTGATTTAATAAACTTCTATCCATTTAAAATTGTGATTATATTTGTTCATCTTTGGAGGTCTTTTACCTCCACACAGTGTAATCACTGCAACAGAATAGATTAAATCTACTTATATCTTTAATCTATTCCGTGGTTAAACCTTCAAGATAAATAATTAAGCCGGGTTCACACTAGTAGTAGTGTAGACTGTGCAGTGTCGTGTCTTCTAAAATAATTATCTCTGATTGGCTGAACCATATTGTTATATTAAGGTATACTGTATAATAAATTACAAGGTACCTCACAAACCATAAGATACCGTGAAGTTGATTTCATCCACAGATATACACCTATATATATATCGATGGCATACGATGGATATGAAAGGGCGTATACCACAAAAAATTGAAAAATGAGTTTTTGGTATCAAATTTTTCAGAAAAAATAGGCGCATAATTTGTAATATTGAGGCGGTTAAAAATATTAAGAATTATTCTCTACATAGCGGATATAAGTTATCCAAACGCCCTAAAGAATATATATATATATATATATTTTAACGAAGAATTTTAAAAGGGCGTATACTACAGGAATTGCTAGTGGTTTTATCGAATAAACTAAGCATTTAAATGATAATTGATATCAAATTATCAACATGCCTACTATATAAAGGTATATCCAAGAACAACCGACCTTAGCGGTATCATTTTTAAAAACACTATTTTGTTCCTCCTGAACAATTTCAATTATGTGGTATACGCCCTTAGTCATAGGCGTGCGCACAGGGCGTGCCCAGGCACGCCCTGTGATTTTTCATGGGCCGAAGCGCCCTATGCCTCTGATCTACCTAAATTACAAAATTCAATTTTAAAGAGAATTTGAAAAAAATTTTAAAATTCACTATGTGCACTCTGTAGATGAAAGTTTGTATATATTATTGTATATAGACATATTTTGGCTCAACATTTTGGCATAAATATTCTTAGGCCCGGATAAGACTAGCGTTTTATCGGCGAAACCGCAACCCTTTGTGATCGTTTCACGGTGCAACACGATTGCGCACTTTTTACCTTTTTATTTGGCCTTGTGAGAAGATCATTTTCACATTTTCTATTTAAACGAGAACTTACAATTTGCCTACCAACAATATTTTCTGGAATCACGCCATGTGTGTGCTCATTTAACATACTTAATATTTTAGTCACATCCTTGTCAACAAGTAAACTAGAAGAATAATTTTATTTGTACAGCGATACCGAATGTTCCCACACTTTTTCAGAACTTTAAATTCACTATATTTATAATCATCAACTAAAATGCATGGCTTACCTTTTTCTGTTTCGAATTTTTTTTTAATTTGTTTTTCCATTTTTTCAAAATGAAATTGTACGAAAATAAAATGGAAATATGTACTTTGCGCGATATGAGATTGCCACAATGACGTGCGTATGTGACTGACGACTGCCACACTATACATATCGTTATTAACGTACAGGATTGTCGGGATTAGATAACTATCAATAAAATCCGGTGAAATAAATATTATCGGATGTGAATACGTTGGAAAAACAATATGTTTAAAACCACAGTCACTAACACTTATCAGTTATTATAGTAATAAAATATTATTTACAATTGTGTATAGGTACGTATACTATACTATAAGTGGGTTTCTTAAACTTATTATTTATTTATGTCCATCATTTATGCCAAAAATATTAAATTAAATTAATTTTGTGCACAATCGTGTGGTGTTTTTTCAAATATAAAAAGGTAAAAAGTGCGCAATCGTGTTGTGTTTTTATCAGGTAAAAAGGTAAAAAGTGCGCAATCGTGTTACGGCCAAAACTTCTGGAAATTCCACTGTATATACTTGTGTTTTTAAAATTTTAAAAATGTTTACAATCATACCTGTAACCAGCTGTACATGTGAACGCGTTTTTTCAAAATTAACTGTTGTAAAAAACAAATTACGCAGTACAATGGACCAAGAACGTTTGGAGTCATTATTACTACTTTTTACGGAACAAGAAATGGTATCAAAGGTAGATTTAAATGCAGTAATAGATGAGTTCAATAGTATGGGTAATAGACAAATGTCTCTCTAAGTACATAAAATACTTATATAACTTCTATCTATGTCATTCATAATTATTATATTCGTTATCCTTTATTTTAATTAACTTGTACCTGTATGATATAAAGTATTGAAAAAAAAACTTTAAACTATATTATATTATAATTTATAATTATTATTATTATTATTACTATTATTATATTATAAACTATGTAAGATAATATAGGATGTGTGTTATAATATGATAATAATTAATATAAATATATATTAATAATATCATATAATATTATTATTAATATTAATATTAATATATATTATATATATTAATATTAATATATAATATGTATGTTATAATATGTGTTATGATATTAAATAGGTATATATAATTTAGATGTGTATTTATAAAATGGTTGACTAAAGGGCCGATGATAATATATGGGCACTACCGGTTTTTAGAATCTGCACACGCCGATGCCCATAGTATAAGTCTTATAATAAGTCTAAAATACTGCATCGTCATCAAACGTGTTACAGTTGCCATTATTTTTTTTAATTTAAATGCATTTTTTATTAAAATTTGTTGTATAGCAGTTTTTAGTTGCACCACCTTTGAATTATTATTTAAGCAGCCTCTTTGTCTGATTTGCCCAGATAATAGTTCTAGATGGTCTTGGGAAAATTTATAAGTAAGAACATAAGTAAAATTTATAGAATCATTTACAAATATTGACCTTGCTATAATAAGTAGGACAGTGCGATTATTTTTTCCCTGGAATAATCGATTATTTAAATAATATTCGATTATAATAGAATAATTGTTTATTGATAGAATAATCGATTTATAATTGAATAATCATAATTTCATTTAGAATCGAATAATCTTACTATTGAGTTATTTAATAATAGTAATAATTAAATAATTATCCTGATTTAAAAGTCTAATTAAATAAAAAAAATATAACAAATAAAATAACATCATCTTGTGTACAAAAAATAACTGTTTACCTTAAAATTCAGTTTTGAGTCTTGACTTAAATCTAAAATTAATATTATACATATTTAAAATGCTGGTTTTGCTATATAATCTTTATTCGCGGATAGAAAAATTAGTTGGCTTGCATGTTCATTTGTTACCGACGATCTATGGTCAGTTAATAACAGCCACCTTTACTAAAAATACATCATCGCGGCAGGTTGCCTTCATCGACGGTTTCCAGAAAAAGAATAACCATTGCTAAAAATAAACGAAAACAAAATCCAAATACACCTTTTAAATGAAGACATTTCATTGAATAACGACAGATTAAAACGGATATACTATATATAGTAAAGATTAAAATTAATCGAAAATAACCATGTTTTTCATTATAATTAATTTAATAATAAAATTTTTTCTTCGATTATTCGATTATTCAATTATTTGACTATTTTCGGATATTTCAATTAATAATCGATTATTCGATTATTTTCGGATATTTTAATTAATAATCGAATAATCGATATAAATAAATTATTCGATTAATTTAATATTGTTAAAAATAATTGATTAATCGCACAGCCCTAATACTGAGTAGTGATTTAATGGCAATGGCAAAACTGCATATTAGCTTTTGTTATAATGTCTGAGGAGTTTGGGAAATTTTAAGGGACAGCTGTTACCTTGAGTTTTAGCAAATAACTACTACCAAATTTTGTTCAAAATCATTTTGATGGAAATGATCACTACATACTTTGCTATATTTGGTCGGGATAAACCCTTTGTGGCCAACTGCATTAATCCATTGTTACGTTCATTCTGCATTTTTCAGTGGAAACCTATTTACAAAAATCCACTTATCAAATGCTAATTTAATACCTATGTATAACTTAATATATTTTGTTTTAATTGAAATAACAAATTACTGAGAATAGTTCAGCCACTAACTTTAAACGAAAGATAATTGATTAAATAACTTAAACTGATGAAAATATACCTAAACTATATGTTTAGTTTAACCACTTGTTTAATAAGTTCCATATTATATATTAAATAAATAAAATTACTGTCGTATACCTAATAAAATGTCTAATGATTACTTACGAGAAAAAGTGTAGTTTTCGAGGGCCTGGTTTTGACCGATTTGTACACAAATTCACACTACAGGTGTACACCATAATGTGTTTGGGTATAAAAACTGTACAATAAATATAATTCAGTAAAGTTACAGCAAAACATCAGAAGACCATCGAGTCACGAAAATTTACCGTTTAAACAAAAAGCAATTTGAATTTTGATTAATTGATATCACGAGGATTAAAAACATCCATTATTTTGTAAATATTGCCCAACCTGCATATAGCAACCAGTCCTCATATATGAGATTCTGTGGTCACAATATACTATCAGTCCTATCAGGATTGAAAGAAAAGTTTCGTTCAAAACCGTCAAAAGACCCTAAGATCGATTGGACCGAGTAGGTACATCATTCAGTTACGACTCGATCATTCGACTGACTTGTTAATTTTGATTCCTTCAGTCACGACCGACCCACCTCTATTACCTATTCATCTTGTACAGTATTCACAATTAGCTGTATAAAAAAATATCCGCTCTCTGAAAGAAACGTAGAAGTTCCGAGTCACCAATTGCCCGGTAAGTTTTCTTCCTGATATTTATTTTTTTTCTAACATTTCAATGCATCTTATTATAAAAATATTATTAAATAGACATACATAATTTGCTTGTGGTGTTAGGTTAGATTGAAGAAGTCTAGTTCTTTGGCCCCGAAGCAATGTGAAAAACAGTTCCGGGGCCGTCGTCCGTTGATTTAAAAAAAAAAAAAGTTCTATACCTTTAAATAACATTTATCCTTAAAACCGAAAGATATTTCTGGTGTATACATAAGTGTGAAAGAAATCTTAAATATATTAAACAGCGCAGATATATAGTTATTACAACACAGGGAATAACAATACATATTGTCAAGTTAAGAAGCATTTATTTTTCAGGTATTTCTATTTTGACTAGCAGAAGAAAGTTGCATTGATATGTTCGAAAAAAAAAAAATTGAAAATAGAAAAAAAAAAATTTCAGGATGAAAACTTACTAGTTATTTGGTGACTCAGAACTTCCACATTTCTTATAAAGAGTAGATATTTTTTTTTTATACTGTAAATTGTCAATAGTGTACAAGATGAATGGATATAATACAAAGAGGAAAGATTTTAATTACATAAAGGTTGATATAATTTCCATGTTCAAAAAATTAATAGTACTTTGTTAAATATATAAAACTGTAAGTATTTATAAATATGAATGAGATACATAAAATCTTAATATTAATATATTGGCTAAAAAAGATTATACATGATGATATTTTATATAAAACTATGGTTTTTTCTTTTTTTAATACCATGATATCACTAATTCTTTAAAATTTGGGTAGGAGTTTTATACAAAACAGTTTATATATTTGGTATTTTTGGTGTTGATGCAATCAATGGTAATTTTCTGTTAAATGTAGCATAGTTAATTTTACTTCCATCAGAAATTTCATCATCAAACTTTTTTCTTTTTTTCAGAGGTATTATACTGAGATTATAGATTTTACCTGTTCTAGTAATACTCATATCAAGATTTACAGGCTTTTTTATTGGTTTCATTGATGTAGTTGCTGAAATAGGAGAATCCAATGAAAAATTTAAAAGAGATTTTTTGTTGCTATCATTAAAACAAGAATATTTTTCTACCAAAATTTTCCATTTCACTGGGAAACCATTTTTGGATAAAGATTCTTGGTATAATTCATCTGGTGATCCTCCAATGATTTTACCTAGTAAACGATATAAACCATTGTTTGTTTTTAATAAATCTTTTTCTTTTCGACATATTATAAGATCAGCATTGTGATGTTCTTCTTCTACAGTAGATTGATCTGCTTTCAATAAAGTGCCTAAAAATAATATATTTAACAATTAAAAATACTAAACATAACAATTAAAATAATAAGTTGTTACCAGTTAATAATACACAAGATTTTTTGGATTTGATTATTTTCATATTCACAGACCACTTTGATAGGTATTTTTCAAGGCGTTTACCATTATTTCCATTAGCATCACTCTTGGTTGTCTTATTTTTATTAGATAATCCAACAGTTTCAAGTAGAGAAGAATCTATGGAATAACAGCCATTATTAATGTTTTTATTTTGATGTGAAGCAAAAGCTGATTTATTCTCAACCACAAGTTTTATATTTGAATATGCATCATTTGGATCAAATGTATTTTTAAAAACAGTTTCAGGTGGGTTCAAATGTTTATGATTACCCTTAGTTTTAGCTATATTATTTTTTCTATGGCTAACTTTAATAATTGTGGTATCCATATTAGATGAACTTTGAGAAACATGGTTTGATTGGTTAGAACGAGGCAGAACTACTTCATTAGATTCAAGTTCAATGTGTACAGATGGCTTAAATGAATTTAAAGGAATAGATTGAAAATTACTTTCAGGTTGTCTAATTGTATTGTTACGGTTACAACTTATTAATGACATAGTGGATGGTGCCCTGAAACTTGTGCATGGTCTTGAATTACTTGGAACCATTTGGGAACAATTTGTAAGCCTTGAAATATTTGTGCCATTTCGTTCTGCTTCTTTTTTCAAGCGATCAATATGTTTAAAAAAATTAGCCAATTCCATTTTAAATGTACGGTATGGTAGTACTTGCAAGAAGTCATGCAATTTATTGCGCATATCTGCATTGATTTCTTCCGAAATGTCATTGAAAAGTAAAGACTCGGATTGAACATGCTGAGGTTGAGGAGCTTGAGGCATTTGAAACTTCGAATTAGATGAATTTGTTTGGTTATTCATTGTGATTTTACTTTGTAATAATAACAAAAAATAAAAGCAACTTTTAAACAATTACGAATTAATTTGAATTGGAAATAACCACGATTAAAGATAGGATCCTATCTATAATCATGAAAATAACTAAAGCTTGCTATTATCTTTATCAATTATTCGATCATTTTTAACGAATGATAAATATTCGAATAACCTTTTATCAATTATTGGTCATACGAATAATTTATTATTCGAATAATTGAATTACCTTGTACTTTTTAATCGATTATTAATTATTTTGTAAACAAAAAATAGATAACATTAAACATGAAGATAATTTTTTGTTTTGTGATTTCATATTTATTAAATGTTGAAGACTTAAGACTCATGGGTCAACGCCCAGGGGGTTTTAAAGCTTAATAGACGATTGCCAATAATAAGTTATCAATGATGTGGGAATTATATCAGCACAATGCTGGTCCTAGGGAGCAGCTGACAAACGGTGCGACCACACCGGGCTCTACGCTTGTATGGGGTCCCACAAATTACGTTTAATGAATATCACTGAATCTATAAATAAAAATAGTATAAACCCAGTAATACGCAAATTGCAACTCGTGTGGTTTTTTCAGGAAATGGGTTGTTATCGACAAAAATTAAAACGGTACTTTCCAATACATATTTATGTACAGGCCCGACTCAAGAGTTAGGCGATCTAAGCCCACGCTTAGGGCGGCATTTAATATGCCTATGGATAATTTTAAAAAAATATTACATTTACTACTACCTACTTATATACTTATATACTTATATACTTATATACTTATATAAAATTATGTGTAGTAAAAAATAAGACTCAAAAAATTGTTTTGTTTTAATTAAATTAGTAGTGGTTAACTTGTCTACAAATGTATTAATCTAATAAATTGTTAACTTAACGTAAATAAATATAATTAACTCAGAATTAAGTCTATTTTGCTTATGTAAAAATAATATTTGATTTAGTATTTACATATAAGAGGTGACAAAACTTAAGTTTGCCTAAGTGTAAGTAAATGTTTAAGCCGGATCCGGCTATGCAGTATTATACACGCATGTACTTGTGAAATTGTTTACTATCGATAACGGTTCAAAATATAGTTATAGTATATATTTAGTTACATAATAAAATAAATAAATATAGATTTGTATAAATAACTAGCTGACCCAACAAACGTTGTTTTGTCATATAAATTATTTCTAGAGAATATTTTGTTAAAAAAAAAAAAAAAATTAATATAGGTGTATAAGGATGTGATATATAAGTGGAAGAGGAGTGCTGTGAACGGTGACGAAATATAAAAATGAAAAAACATCAAAAGTTTATTTTTTTAATAATTTATTAAAATTGATCCTTTAAAGTTATATATATCACTAATTATAACAATATTAGTAAAAAAACAATATCAATCTCTTAATGCAACAGAGTGTACAATATTTTTTGGTATTCCATCTTTGACCAACACAAACAAATTGGATGGTTGGAGAGCACGCCACGCATAATTGTCCGTGTGAAAAACATGATGTGCTCAAATCTAAGCCAAAGACAGACATCGTTTGGCCTTGAGACTTATTGATAGTCATTGCAAATGCCAATCTGATTGGAAATTGAAGGCGTTTAAATTTTATTGGCACATCTGTGGGTATAATAGGGATTCGCGGTAATATATATTTTCTCCTCGGAATTTGCCATTTAAAATTACGGCTTCGATAACATTTTTCATTAATTTTTTAATGACTAATCGCATGCCGTTGCACAATCGTAGTGGGTTCAAATTATGAAACAAAATAACCGGAGATCCAACTTTCAGTTGTAAATTATGCGGTGGCATGCCTGATAAATCCAATGAGTTTAAAAACTCTGTTGAATAATTTGCAGCTTCAGTAGCATCGCAAACTATATCAATAGATTTGTATAACACAAAGTTACCTGGTAACAAATATTATATCTTGAGATCCAATTCGTAGGCGTCTACATTTTTTGCTACTAAAATTGTTCTTTCTACCAGCCACTCATGATCTGTATATTATCAGTGTTCAATGGGAAATATCTGGTCAATGAGAACATCTTGCGAATCAATGATTTTGCAGAAATCGGTCGGTAATTGTATGCATCCCGTTTCATCTATAGTAACTTTCCAATCACCGATATCTAACAATCTTCCGCAAGCAGCTTTTTTTGATTGAATCGCAAGTATCGTAATCGTTCGCTCTCTATCTTTACATACATGTCGACCATGAATTGTTGATAAAGCTCACAACATCGTAGAATAACGTTGTCCTGATCGCATCTAATAATCAACCTTATATATAATAATCCTTCAAACTAACATTCTTGATTGTTTTAGCACCTGTTGCGGGATCTTGTTGTTTAATATTTATGCAATACCAGTCATATAATACCAAAAATTAAATTAATAGTTTTTAAATAGTTTTTAAATAATTTTTAATAGTTTTATTTAATAATTCATTTTCAATTGCGCAGTTATCGACCGGATCAAAAATTATTAAATTAAACTAGGATTTATTAAACAATAGCATTTAGGAGTATATAAAATAGATAAAAACCTAATCGCACACCTACCAAATGTATATACAAAATTTCATTAAAATCGTTTAAGCCGTTTTGGAGCAGTATGGTCACAAACACTGTGACACGAGATTTTTATATATAAAGATTAATAAATTAATATATATGTAATATACATATGTGGCCCCAAAAACCATAAGGCCGACACTCTATCAGCATTTAAGCATTCGTTGAATAAGTTCAAAGTTTTTAGCGTTTACATAAAAAAATGTCTAGCAAAAATTAGTGGAAAATCATAAAATATTGTGTTCATATTATTTATTGCAACTGAACAAGTTAGTCTGAACTACTGAATCAAAACGGAGAACGATAGAATGATAAATTGTTGATTAACCGACGTCATCATTGTAGGAAGTATATTGTAGTCATTAATCATTAGATGGTGAGTTTAATTTTATTAAGACTAGATACAGTTTTTAGAGCAATAGAACATTTATCGAGTGGTAGTGAATTAACGGAAAAGATCCAATATCTTATATATATTGGTAAATACTATATACCAATATATATATAAGATAATATAAATAGTTAATGTAAATGACATCGGAGACCAATTATTTATTTAATACATGTGCAGTAATGGTTATATAAGAATGTTGGACCAATGAAGACCAGCAATTTGTTGTGCATACAACATTCTGGACAGCATTAAAATCATCTTGTATTTTATTTTCAACAGTTGATTTAAAAAAATGTAGTCTTTTTTTTATGCTTCCCCTTTCAAACTTTTATAATTTGGTTCTACAATGGCCATAAATTGATGGAATCCAGAGCTTGAACAAAATTACAGAGGTAATTGGTTCATAGAAATAATTTTAGCCAATGCTTATGAATTGATTCTGTTTTTTCAGGATCCGTTACGATTAGTTTCAGTATCACTAGTTGGTGCCAAAAAAACGGTGACGTTTTCTAAATATTACCATTGATTATATATACTAATCAATAATATACTAGTATGTATAATCAATGGTATTACATTATTTTGATTAGGACTTGACGATGAAGATTCATTCTTCGTTAGTAAAACTCTGTTTTGAGAAGAGCAGTGTTCGACTTGGCAAAATTAAAGAAGGGAGACTCTGTTTACTTTAAAGAAAAATAGCGTCTCCAAGACTTGTTAAGCGTATAATTATAACGTAGTAATAGTAGAAGAACGCTAAAATTTCTAAAAATTAGTTGGGGTACTCCATTTCCCTGCGTCCCCCCCTCAAGTCAAGCACTGGAGAAAAGAGTTAATTGCAGTGAGATTATTGTCTTGTAAAGAGTCAATTAATTCAAGATTATTGAATGAATTTAACCTATAAATACATGTTGCTCGAATAAGTTGAAAATATAAAACTAATGTACGTAATACAAATATTTTTTTTCAAATTCTATGAAATAATAAAATATATTTTTTAAATATTTTATAAATATTTACTTGTTTCTTATTATTTTTTGGAATTTATTTTTTATAAAATTATATACAATATTATATTGTTATACGTCATATAATTTTCGAAAATTTAAAAAAATAATATTTCTAATGTTTGGTACGAATTAAAGATTTTCATGGAATAATTATGTAGTACACCACCTGAAACTATGCATTTTAAGATATCGGTGTTTATATTAGCTATATAGGTAACATTACAAAATTAAACAACGATTAAAAATAAAATTAAAAACGAATTTAGTGTGTAAATAAATAAAAATAATTGTTTCACTTCAGCTTATATTTTTTCCGATATTGTAAACAGCCAGTCTTCAAACTCTGAAATATTTAAGATCAACATCATTCTTCATGATGCAAATATCCCTAGTCTAAATGAAAATCATGATTTCATTAACTTAAAGAAACCTAAACATAAAACTCGTCACCCGTTTAATATAAATAACAGTCACTTATCGTTTGTACCTCAATATTCATCCCCAAACGGTAACTATTTAAAAAAACCTTCAACCCATAATTTTGATGGCATTGAAATGCTACGTAGCAAAAAACCAAAATAATCGGAGTAGCGTAACACCATCCCTTTTAAAATATTATAAAATAACTATAATATTCATACAATTTTTTCGATCAAACTTGTATATTACGAGTATTATAATATTATATTGACTAGCCATTTCATAAATCATAAAGAAATGTAATTTCTGAAATTTTTACAGTCAATTACCGCGTGGCGTTGACTCAAAAAAATATTGGAAAGACATCGATTTAATTTCAATTTTAGATACGTTTTAAATTATCTGTTTTACAGGTACTATTAAGTAAAAAGTGCACTGATTTTAATTGATTTTTATGCATGACAAATCAATTGATTTTGTACTTTTATTTTAGTTTAGTAAAAAATCAGATTTTTACTTTCCAGAATTTAATTAAATAAAATTCTGTCATATTTTTTCATTTCCTATAGAATGTTATTACCCCATCATTTTTTTTACTTTTAAAATGAACAGAGATGAATATCATTAGTGTATTATGAACCTTTTGAAAATAAGATTTCTTTTCATAATTCTTACATATAAGTTTAACATATTTTTGTAAAATTTAGTAATTTTTTTGAAATAAAATAACTCTTGGTGCGCTAATATTATAACAATATATATATATATTATATTATAAAAAAAAAAAAAATCAATACATTGGTTTTATAAATGTAACTGAGATACTTATAATAATATATATATATACAATAGGTCGAAGGTTATTGATGCCTAAAAACATGAAATATTTATTTATAAATAGTTCAATGAAAAATGTCTATTAATAATTTTTATATTTGTATGCCAAATAAAAACACTTTTTTAAATTATTTTTCCAATTTAATTAAAAAAAGTACAAGTATAACGAATGTTTTGAAAAAAATATGCATTCAATCATTTTTACTAGTATACAATTCTTTTAATGGTCATTAAAATAGTCATTCATATTTTAACGCTATATCACGGACAATTGTAGGCGATATTACTGAGTATGACAACAAGCATTGGCCTACACTCTGGCATAGATAATGTATAGGTGTACATATTTGAGAGGGGTGTTGATTTTATTTAGCTTGGACGGCGAGAATAGGGTGCACGCGCATAACTGCAACGAGTATTATTACGAGTCTCTCTTTTGCAGCATGTGATCGTGATGCGAAAGTCGTTTTTATGTTTACGTCCGCTAAAGCCCCGCAGAGGGACGTGACGCGCGCCTTAAATGTCGTTCTCCCCGCGGAATAACGCGAGTCACCCCACGAGAGAACGAGGAAATAAAAAAAAAAATTAAAAACGCGCGTTCGACATCAAGGGGTGGGTGTATTGCTGCGCACTCAGTATCCCAAACACGGAGCTGGTCCGTCCCTATGACGTTTCCAACTCGGCGGCAGTCAGTCCGCCGTCGATCACGTACCACACGTACGGGTTTTCGTTTGTCGCGCGTGCCGTCGTCCAAACGTCCCACTGCGCCGGTACTGCGGGTTGCGTCACGTACACTGTCGCGCCACTTGTGCGGCTGCGTTCACGCGCGAACTATCGCACCACGTGAGCTGCCGGACGCGTTTCGCTCTTGCTGTACGGTGTCGTCAGCCGTATAGTAGCCTATAGGTAAAACTGACTCGGCACACGCGGTTTGGCACAGGTACGCATGCGCTTCCGCGTCACACGTGTCCACGCGGTTGCGACATCACCACGGTTAAACAACATTATTGACCTTCAGGCCCGTCGTTTTCCACTCCTTCTCCCACTTCGTTTTTCGCGGTCGTGTGTTTTCACTTCGTCGGCCGTCGTCATACACGCGCGCGTTGCTACGACGCGTAGTAGTAGTATAAGAAGTAGTAGTAGTAGTAGTAGTAGTAGTAGTAGTAGTAGTAGTAGTAGTAGTAGTAGTAGTAGTAGTAGTAATAGCATTATTAGTAGTGCAGTACACTAATACGGCCGGTCACCGCAGTGTTATGTGCGCACGCGGTACACGTGTACACGAATCCGTGCGCGCTTTCTGTGTTGTTGCCCCTACGCACGCTTCCGCCGTATTTTGAATATTCCGTGAACCACCGACGTCGCCGTACTGGGTGTTTTGCCGCCAACCGAATCGAGGATCGTCCCGCTCCGTTACCGGACAATGAGTGTTCTCCTTTGATCCCGTTAGAGGGTACGTAAATAAATCTCATGCATCTCTTAACGCTCACTACCGCATTAACTCTCACGCATTTTTTAGTTCATTTCACAGCTTCTCGTTATCGCTGTGTTGGTGGTACCTATGTACTGCACGTGCTCGGTAGGTACCCGATGATCCCTTCGCAATTATTGTTTTCTACTACACGTAGACGGTTTTTAATATCGTCCCGAAATTTTGATCTAAACTATTCCGAATCAGAACTTCCCATCATATCCATGTCTACGGATCGTGTCTCTCTTGCACAAGCACGATCAGTAAAATTTGACTAATTTTATTATCGATTAATGTGAGTCTAAAGTTATGATTCCAACAAAATGACGTTTAGAATTATCCTACTATAATTTAGATAATTTGTAATTATATTCGAATATGTATCATTAGATGATAATTATTTATATTCTATTTTGAAAATCGAATTTTCTTTCACATTTGGTAACCCAGTATTACATTTGTATATTTGTCATGTAGACGATCTATAATACGTCTATAATTCCGATGATCCGATATCGTTTGCAATAATCGATAATTATAGGATTATTTTATTACCATGTGTTCCGACAGTAGTAGCTTTCATGGTGATACAGACAAGGTTTGCATATATAATAGTCAATATATACTACATATTATATGATAATAGTTATAGCACGAATAACCCGTTAAGTTTCACAAATCTATAGTATACATTTAAAACTTAAATAGTTATTAATTTTTTGTTTTTACTTTTTATTCCTCTATGCACTATGTTGTCTGTATTTTCAATTTACAATATTGCATCATAAATGCATGTTATTCTAAAAATCACTTCTTTCACTTTATGATAAGCTCTAATTGATTTAATTATATATCAGACACATTATAGTTATATTATTGGTTTTACCTTTTTTTTTTTTATAAAATTCATTTTTAATAATTGTTTTATAGTTATTTGAGTTATAAAATTTGTAGTACTTATACCAAAAGATACAGGCCTTATATTTTCATATTTTATTTACAAAACACATTACTACGTGCAATCTATGGCCTATGATTATCGATTTCTGTAATATCATCTGTTTAAATATTTTCATTAAACAATGTGTATAAGTGTTGTTACTACAACTAAAGAACACATACTTGCACAGGCGACAATTATGTGGATGTGTGAAACAATCTATATTCTCCGTGTTTTAAGTACTTTTATAATACTTATTCAAATTTTATGGTTGTACTAAATTTTTATATTATTTTTATTATTTCTTATTTTTTCTATCCATTTTACATTTACAATATGATTAAACAATTAATTTAGAAAATTAAACGTTAGTTGACACTTATTAATGATTTTAAGCAATAATTATGGGCTAAAGATATAAAGGTATAAAGATATATATTAAGTATAAAGGTATTAAAAATATTTAGACAAAACATACTTATTGAGAATGAATGTCAATTCCGTAACAACACGCAATAATACTTGTTAGTTATACCTGTATTATAATTAATTTATAAAAATACGTATTCATTGATATTTTAATAATATGTATTAAAAATGAACGATCATGAAAATTGAGATTATCAAGAATATCAGATGAATTGTTATTTTGAGAACTATAAATATTATTCTCTGTCTATGCCTTAAAATTTTAACATAAATATTAAATATAAGATACAACAAATGGAAGGCTTAAAGATTATTTTGGATTTAACTTTTGTATGTTCGAATATATTTTTAAAGCCTAGCTTGATTGAGAACCACTGGTAAATTCACGATCTAATCAACACTTGCCTCGGCATATAATGTGCTACTTAGGGTAATCACATCCTGTCCAATAAGCAAGATTGTGTGACCGCATTCACATACGCGACTTACACTATAGGTGTATGCGATGTTAAAGAAAAAAAATCGTTGATTGTACAGAGAATTAATTTTGTATCCCTCCCCATTTTTTACACTTTCAATGCATTGCCTAGGGACGCGGTTTTAATAGACACGCTACATCAGTTTCGCTCTAATAAACCGACAATAACAATACATGTATTGTAATACAATAAATATTTAGGATGTCCACCTCCTAAACTGTCAGTTGACGCTCTCTGGAGTTTATGGGTGAAACTTTCGAGAATTATTCATTGTTTAAAGTGTTCTACTATACATATGATATGATACCTAACAAAAAGTTAACGGCTGATTATTTTATTATAATTACTTCCGATTTTGTTGGTTAATATTTTGAATTATTATGAAAAATTTTAGTAAATAATGTTTATATATTATATGTCTTATAGTCATAAGTTAATAATGATTTTCAATTAAATATTCAATTATAATCACAGCCTACTTTTATGTAACATAAACTATTTTCTATTCACGTTTTAAGTTACTACGAAAATATAGTAGATAATATTTGAAATATTTATCCCATTTGATGATAATTTATTAGCAAAAGTGAAATTGTTTGGTGTAAGTATAAAGATTTATGTCCGAATGGTGGCTTAATGCCATACTATTCTAGAGTTGGCAAAAAATATGAATTATTCAAAAAAAAAAAAAAAAATGAAGAATAAATAAAAATATTGTTTCATATTTATCTTTTTATTTCAGTCGATAATTTCTTTTAACATTTTACGACTTCAACTTTTTTTTTTTTTTACCTAATTTAAGAATTCTTGCAATTATACAGTAATACTAACAATATAGTAAATTTTAAAAATGAAACATTGATTATATTGACCCTTTAATTTATACATTCTACATATTTTCTAATAAATTATTTAACCCAATGTTAAATATTTTATTGAAAACAAATCAAAACCCTAAAATACCAAAATAATACTAAAATAGTACAATTAAAAAACTATGATGATAGTTTGAAAAAATTTGGTTATAAACAATTTATTTTTTACACTTAACATGTCGCTTATTAAGAGCAAAAACGAAAAAAGTAACTATTTTAAAAACACATTTTATAAAGTATTTAGCTCAATCAATATTCTGAATATAAATATTTATTTTCCATGGAAATGATTCGTATAAACCGTACATTAATTATATACATTAGTAATCTCTAAAACACTTCATACATAAATTAGTGTATAGTATTATACTATATATACTGTATTAATCATTTATAGATATTATAAGCCATTAATTAATTATAATATAGGTAGTTTTTTCGGCATTTAGAATTGTTCCCATCATCAATCAACTGGCAGCTGTTTCTGAATAATGGAGGATTGTGATTGTCGACCGTTGTTTTATAGTCCTAGTCATGGATGTTAGGCATTGTTCGTTTTCCCCTATTACGTATAATTTGTTAGTGCCAATGATATAGGAAGTTTAGACTCTCCTTAAAGTATTTGTAAACCCTCACAAAGTCTATCAAAATTTGAGCTAATGCTGCCTAACGTTTATTTAAAATAACAGCATCATTCTATAATATAAAATACTGGTATAATATGTAATTTACATATATTTTCAGTGTAACTTTCAGTGTCACGTTTATCGAATCTTTTTTTAGTCGAAATATTTATTATTACTTTTTTTTATATTATTATGTTTGACAGCTACTCAGTTTAATTTTAATTCATTAGCTTGATAAATTATTAAATAAATACCATGGTAGTCTGTATCCTAAAATCATTTATGTTTATAAAAACGTTATGATACTTTTTAATGCTTCAAGTAAAGGTTAACTATAGATTAACATTAACACAACAAATACAAAAAAAAACAAATTCGAATAATATTCAATAAATGCATGTAAGATATTATTATTATTTTGTAGTTGTTTGAATATTTATTAAAATTAAGTATATATACACAATGAATTAGATAAAAAAATATAAAAGATATTTCTTAATTTTAATTTGTATTATATTAAACCTATTATAATATTGTTATATTATACAAAAAAAAAAATATTTAATAAAATCCTATTTTGTTAAAGTAAAATAAAACATACATAAAAAAAGTTATTTAAAATTTAAAGGAGTAATTTTAAGGGAAAAAAAATCTCCTGTGCTCTTGAATGTATTCCATTCTTCAAAGAGGGTGAAGAACATCTGAGGATGACTCATATACAGTCACCCTTATGATGGGATGCTTTATTCGTACAGTATATGGATGCAAGTAATTTTTAACCCTAGTACCGACCCTTCTAAATTGAAATCATCACTTAGTATATGTACTTGTGAGCAGTATGTATGCATTTTACTTTTAAGAAGTTTTTGTCAGTGTTTAATAATTTCTATCTTATATTAGGAAAGTAACTTTAAATAATATGTTAAAAGTATGTTAAAATTATAATTAATTATTACGTCAAATGATGATTGATTTGTAAATTTTTTACATTTATAAAATTACTTTATATGTAAGTAATTTAGATTCACAATTATGGTTTCTGAAATTCATTACTGAGTAGTAATATAATTAATATATCTAATTTTTTACTATCAAAATTTAAATAATTATTGATTTTATTATTTTATCTAGAATATTATTTGCTGTTTCATACTAATAGTAGTAGCTGCAGACACTAATACATACGAATGCGGACCTATTTATATCCTGTGACAAACATGGTATCACTGTTATAGTTCAATTAATATCAGAAATAAGAAATTTTATTATAAAAACAACAACTCAACCAACCGAAAAAGGGATTTTAATTAGTTTTTTATCAATTATTTTATTTTTATCCTCACTAAATTTTATGTAGTAATGATTAAATTACAAAATGTACCCTAAAACCGAATTGTATACGTACAAATAAATGTATAATAAAATACAATATACTAAGACACCATTACTGAGAAAGATAAATAACTCGTCAAAAAACATACATTTAATTATTCAGGGTTAACTAATTTGGCAAACGTGCGTAAACATTTAGGCCAACAGTTATATTGGTCAATATTAAATTGTGTACGTGATTTTTTATTTTTGAATTGACGAAAACATGGATGGTAACTTGACCTAGTTAATTTGATAGATT